AATGAACAAAGACACAGCCCCAGTCCTTGAGGATTCTAAAATTGAATGTGTCTCTGAGCTAAAGATGAACTTGGTGTTTGGAGGATACAAAGACAGGGAAGGAGAAATGTGACCACTTCTGGAAATACCTGGACAAGGTGTTCTGATGTGGAAGGAGCCAGTATATAAATTAGTATTCCTTTCTTTCTCTCTTTCTTTAGTTTTTTTTTTTTTTAATTTTGGAAAAAAGGAGATAGAGTACTCTGCAATGCTGACTGCCTGCACTGTGATCCCCTAAAATTGCTGGGAGATTGATCATAGGGCCATACCAGGCAGGGTTTTCATGGTTGCTAGCAACAAAATTTAACGCTGGCTAATTGACATATAAAATTACTAGTTGGATGGTGGGTGGGAGACTTGCAGAATCAACCAGAAGGCTGGAGGACAGGCCTGGCAAACAAATAGACACCAAAGGAGGCTGGTGGCCAAGAACACAGCTGAGAACACAGTGCAGGTAAACTGTCAGTCAGGGTTTGGAGCTTTCCATAATTTCTAAACTTCGGGACTCTCCTCAAGGCTCAGAGTTAAGAATGGAGCTTCTGATTGGCTAGCCTGGGCCACGTGCTGGGCCCTGCGGCCAGAGGCAGGACAATGGAGGACCTTCCCTTTTAGTTGTTACGGTGAAAGCAGGGCCTCCATCTATCCCTTACTTCACACAGTGGGGAGCTGGGAGCTTCCCCCAGTAGGAAAGGAGTTTGCATGAAGCTGGGCTCTGGGCAGTTAACATCTTCTGCGTTCTTCATGGTTGTCAAAATGCTTTCACATTCCATTCCCGGAGAGAGGCTAGGTAGGCTCCATGATCTCAATTACAAAAGTGGAAACCAAAGCTCAGAGAGGTTAAGTGATTTGTCCAAAACCACAGAAGGTGGTTAAGAGGTGCTTCTTTATCACCTTGCTCCACCTTCCTCCATACCCCAGGGGCTTGGGGGAGAGGCAAATGTTTTCTAAGGAAAGGGAGATAGGGAGAACTCTAAGAGCTGTTGGTGGACAGCCCAGAAATGCTTGGGAGGATGGAAGCCCCAGCTAGGCTAAATTCCAGAGATTAATCCCTTGATTCAGAGGATAGAAGTTGAGTTCTTTTTCTCAGGTCTAGCCTCCTGCAAACAGTGTCATCCTGCCTTTGGCTGCTTCGTGGGTGGGACAGCAGGAGTGCTATTCACCTCCAGGACCAAAAACTCCCCTGGCTCCCATGGGGAGCATGCCATGGGGACCATGCATGCCTCCAGACCTTTACTCGTGCTGTCCTTCCTCTTGGAATGCCCTTCTGCTTTTGCTACCTGTTTAACTCTTGATCATCCCAGCAAAACTCAGCTCTGAGGTCCCTGTGTGCAGGAGGCCTTTCTGGACTCATGTTCTTAAGAATCCATCACCCACTCTCCTTTGGGCTACCTCTCATTTTGCCACACTTACCTTGCTGGATTACAATAACTGATTTGTATGTTTGCCTCCCTTTTGGACTAGGAGTGCCTCAGTCAAGACAGGGCCTGGATGCTATTCCTGCCTGTGTCCCCAGTGTGCGGTGCTGGCTTGTTCCCCTCAGACCTATTCCTCACTCTCCTCTGCTGTGTTGTGTATCACAGTAGGGCTGACTATGCAGGCTGAAGTTCCCAAGCTCCCAGATCTGCTGGCTTCTGGCTGGGGTCAGCCAGAGGGAGGCTGTAATGGGAGGCCAGAGGGCTGGGGAAAGAAGAAGCCAGGGTCTCTTCTTCACACTTGGCCTTAAGCACTGTCTTTGGTTGGAGGGCTAACTCCAGTTCCCACCAGACAGGTCCACTCAGGTTCCATCTTCCACTACATGACCCCGGTAACTCTGCTTCACCCTTTCGTCCCTCCGGCCTACAGGTAGTACAGCAACTTCTTGCTGTTGCTGAACTCTGGGTTACCTTGCCATCCCCTGTTTGAATTCTCAGCCTTTTCATCACTATGTGACAATATTCGCTTTGAATCCCATGTCTGTTAACATACTCAGAGTGGTTCTGTGGGTTGTTTGCATCCTGATGGACACTCCAGTTCTTATCATAGAGCTTGGCACAGAATGGGCACTTGACAAGCTTGTGGAATAAAAGTGACTGCCAAAGAGGTCCTATGAACAGAAGGATGGTGCCCACATCGGAGGAGGTAATGGTCTCCCTGAGTTCAGTGTTGTTTTGTTCACATGTAAAATGATTGCAGAGTTTGGGGAGTCACAGTTGAAAAGAGATGGTGGCAAACCAGAAAGAAAAGCATTTTAGGATTGGAGAAACTTGGAAGAACACGTCATCTAGTAATTTCATTTTATGAATGAGGAACATGAGGCCGAGAGGTCTAGTGTCCAGCCCAAAAATCACCCAGCTAGAGAGCAGTCTAGTATTCAGAACCCAGATCCCCACTACTGGCTACATCACTCTATCTAAAACTGTGACTATCTAAGACCTCATACCATATCTCTGGCCCTGCCATTTTCCTTCAAGCCCCAGACTTACATGTCCCATGGGCTACTTTTCATCTGTACTCAGTGATCACTCAGGCCTCTCACACTCAACATGTCCCAAGAGAACTCTTGCTCATCTCCCCACAGTGGCCCTCCTCTCACGATCCCATCTCAAGGAATAGTACCCTGTCCACCTACTTTCACAAGCCAGAAACCCGGGGTTCTCCCTGATCCTTACCTCTATCTCACTCCACAATCACTCCGTCCCCCAGTCCTGTAGATTTTTATCACCTGAATGTGACTTCTTTTTGTCACTTTTCTTTTTATCTGCTGAATGTCACTTCTCTCTGTCACTACCATCCCAGTCTGGGCCTCTGTCACCTGGACAGTTCAATAGCCTACAGAAATGTGAGCACCAAGAGGGCAGGGATTTGTGCGCCTACACCTGTGTGTGTGTTTTGTTTGCTGTTGTATCCTAAATGTCTAGATTTATGGGAATCAGCCAACTTTTTCTGTAAAGAGCTGGATAGTAAATAATTTAGGTTTTGTGGGCCTGTTAGTCTGTTTCAACTTAACTCTGCAGTTGTATCATGAAAGAAGCCATAATCGGATGGGCGTGTTGATGTTCCACTGACTTTACTTATAAAAATGAATGGTAGGATGGATTTGCCCTGAAGGCTGAAGTCTCCTGATCTAGAAAAGTTTCTAGCACGTAGTAGATGACAAGTACATATTTTTAATTGAATTGCTTTCCTCTTATTATCTATTGCCTCTCAATTAATTCCCAATTTTTCCAACCATAAATCAGATCATAACACTCTCCCTCAATCTCTACCCTAACTACCTGCTTCAAAGCTTCAACTCTTAGGATAAAGATCAAACCATGATTAATGCCAACACGCCCTGCACAGTCTGGTCCCCGCTTCCACTCTTTACACTCACTGTCCTCCCTACTCTTTTAGCACTCCAACTGTTCTGGCTTTCCCTCCCTTATATTTGCCACCTCCTTCCCACTACAGGGCCTTTGCACATGCCATCTCTCCTCCCTAAGACTCTACTCTCTCTCCATTGCTCATCCTTCAGATCTCAGCTCAGATCTCAGATCTCACTTCCTCCAAGAAGTCTTCCCTGATCCCCTTGGCCGGGTGCCATTAAAGCACTTTTCTTCCCAGCACTGATCTGGCTGTGGTTATACCTGTTTATGTGCTTCATTGACTAACATCTGGTTCCATTGGAGGAGCTCCACAAGACACAAGGACCAAGCCTGTTTTATTCCTTCATCATGTTCTCAGAACCTGTTTCAGTTAGCTACTATGAATGAACAAGCTAAGGAATGAATGAATGAATGAATGAATGAATGGTAGACAACTGAAGCTTCGGATTCAGGCAGTTCCTGGG